GATAAAACTTTGAATTTTTCCACCATAAACTAGTTTATTTATCTCTTTAAAACAGAATATAAGCTAATCCAAAAAATAACCTAGCAACATTATTTTCCAAATGATTTTGTTTCTTCATAATTCTTTTCTTTATTTATATATATATCATAAAACATAATTAGTAAATTTACGAACTTGGTTGTCGATCTGTTTTATTTTTTTTTTATTTTTTTTTTTTTTTTGAGCTGCGCTGAAATTACGTTTACTGATAATATTTCTCATAACTTACCAAAAAAAAAATAAAATAATGTTACGTGGAGACTAATTTTGTTTAACTAAACTTTCACGTAGGTCTATTCGGTAAAATACCAAAAAATTTTACAGTCAAATTAATTAAAAGGAGGAATGAATAACAAATTTAGAATTATTGAAAAAAAAATTTAAACGTTACTAGCTAATAGCGAAAAAAATAAAGTCTGTAAATAAAAACTAATCTACACATTTTTTTTTTACTTCGGAATGCATTGTTCGCATTATTTTAGTTATGTACTTGAATTTGTTTGTCTTTGGTGAGGCATTAGGCAGGAATTTCACATGCTGTGCCACATTGTTAATTCATTACAAATTTTAACTACATGAGAATATAAAGAATTACTGCTATCTTTCTAAATTGTAGTTAAAGTGATTAAATTATTACTCAATTTAATGTTATTTATTAGTTTAATTGATTATAAATCGTGAATGAATGTAAAATTTATCAGTTTAAAATAATTAAATATCAGTTTTTACATAGTAATTTTTTATGAAAATTATCATTTATCGCATATGCGATTTATCGCCAGTCCTTTATATGCACGTGATATTCATGACATTTTGATTTTATTCATCTCAATAATTATTATCATCTTTACTAATTTGTTCTTAATCTCTAATTACCTTTCGCCTTTTACTATTCTTCTCAAGAGTGTTTTCTCTCATATTTTAAATATTTTAACATTTCTCAAATAACTATAGTGTTATTTGCGCAACTCAACACTATACTTCTTTAGACGTATTACATACAACTACTATTATGTCGTTTATGCCACTTTACTTTTTTTTGCTTTGGCTGTATTACATACGAATATTATTTCAAATATTTTGCACTTTGCATAAGATATGACTGAGGATATCTAAGACGACAACGGTAATGTATTTTTTACACAGAGTTGTTTTAGACATTAGGTTTAAGGTTAGAGCTTAGGTTTAGGTTAGGGTTAGTGTTAGGGTTTAGGTTTAGGGTTTAAGGTTAGGTTAGGGAATTTCGGTTATAAATTATCCCCCCGGGCACGAGGCCGTCAGGCCGAGAGACACGGTGACCGCTGTAAATTTTCTTCTGAATATTGCTATTTAATAACTAATATTTTTTATTTGCGTGTAATAGCATTATGGCAATAAACTAATTCATCAAGGCGTTATCAACCAGACTATCTAAAAGAAATGAAGCAGCAACTAATCAGTCAAAATCTTTTGGAGTAATTCCTTACGTTGACCCAAAACTTTTTAACAGAAGACGAAGGGACAATACATTACCACCATTAAACTTAATGAAAAGAATGACGTTTCGTTTACAAGTGTTTTTGTACTTTTATGGGAAATAACATGTGGTTATCCTCCTTTTTATGTTAAGGATGAAGATTACTAATTAAGTTTAGCTATCGAAATTTTAGGAGGGCTTAGAGAAAAGATCTCACCTGAAGATTATGTGGACATTTACACTGGTAAATATATGATTATCAAATTTTTTATTAATTTCAGAGTGCTGGGATATTGAGCCGGATAATCGTCCACCAATAAATCAAATAGTTGATAACATAGCAGAAAATAATTTATAAATCAACAAACATGTTTGGATAACATCGATGCTTCTTCTAGTATAAATAATTCATTTGGAGAAACATCTCAATTATTCGATTTGATAAGATAAAATATCAAATGAATAATTTTTGGCTGATCAGAATCAGATATTGTAATATCTGATGATACTATTGAAAGTTTAAAGATTACGGAATTTAATAAGGATGACATATTAACCGCCTTAGGAAGATTACAAAGAAATCGCAAATTAACTACACTCATTTGCAATGACTAGTATTACTATCTTACCAACTTTACCATCTCCTTAGCGGTACTTGATTGTTCTAATACTCATTTAAATAGCTTATCAACTTTACCCAATTCCTTAACGGTACTTAACTCTTACGATTCTCTAATAACTAGCTTTCCAAATTTACCCGTTACCTAACATTTATCATTCATGAATCATTAAAAAACTCAGCGCCTAAATAACTATCTATACTATTGCCTAAATCTTTATCCTTCTACATTAACGTTAATGTTAAAGTTTTCTTTTAAGGAGTAAAGATATTATAAGCTTTCACATTAATTAAAACTCTGGTTATTAAATTGGAATATTTTATCCTAAATATCGATAAGAAAATTATGACCTTAATTATATTAATTAAACTTTGCAAAACATAGACAAGTTAAATGTTACTATTTAACTAAACTAATACTTTTTTTCTTTTTTTTACCAGAAAAAAAAAAACTTAATCTAATATTTATTTAGTTTCTTAAAATTTTCCAAATATAAAATAAATTTAAAATTTTACAATACTTCTGTAAATAAAAGAAATTTCTTAATAATTAAAATTTCGAGACTAACAATTTAGTTGAAAAATTTGTAACCTGAGAATTTCTGAAATAAAAGAATGACGCGATGTGATAATTGAGACGTGATGTGACATTTAATCAATAATCACTTATGACTTCCTATATTTTTTCAGAATAATCACATCCACTTTTCACTTAAATGGAATGGAACCTAATAAGAAACAATTGCAAAACCTAAGTAGGAGCAAGCAAATGAAAATAATTGCAGCAATAACAAATTAGGAAATTTTGTGTAACCTTATTATTATCCTTGTACTTTATTTTAATTCGGGTTGTTTATCTTAAGTAACACAACTAGATAAATAATCTGAAAATGAAAGTTCTCCAAAGAACCGCCGTGAACGTTTTTCCCGTATGTAACAATAGTGGACGTGTTCGAAAATGTTTTGCTATTAAATAATTATAGTATTTTTTCCATTAATAGATGAACTTCAAAAGTATACGTACCTGATAAATGATTGGTTGCAGCGACGCAATGGTATATGTATTCAAATATAAACTTTAATTTTTTTATTTTTGAATAAAATAAATTTTGAGACTTACGAATGATGTAATTTTATATAATAATATACCGTGATCATAGTATATTTTTTTTTTTTGAAGCGTTGAAGGTAGAATATTTTCTTTTTATCAAAATTTTTAACAAGATCAATTAATAAAGTTCGTTCTACATTCTGCTTTTTTTTATGCCAATCAGTTGGAGTGTGTGAAAGTATCTTTTTGTGTAAAATTACGGTTTATATTTTGAATTAAAAAGGGAATGTAACTTTTCTTTTTAAAAATAAAAAAAAAATAAGAAAATTAATGATGGGAATTTTAAGTACACTAACTAGTACACTACTATAAAGTATAACTACTTGTTTGCGGTCAGCATTATTTTATTTAAAGTGCAATTATTTATGCAATCAATGGAAATTTTACTTATTATACTTGGTGAAATGAAGGAGAGGTTAGTTCATCTACTATGTTATTTTCATAAAATATTATTGATGTAAACAATGTTTGAAAACTAATAAGAATTTATTTATACAATATATTTCATTATTTGAATCGTTTTCCTTTTCTTCCCTTTTGGGTTGACTTGAATTTAATCAATAAATTTTATATTGCATTACCTAGACTAGAGGAGTTTTACGTCCGATGACATCATAATCATGTTCATATGAAAATATATTATGACAAATTTTAATAAAATAAAATTTTACACGACAACAACTTATCAATTTTTGGATTAGTTTAAAAGGAATCATCGTCCTTCTTAAACTAATTGTTCATAAAACAAAGAATTCCCGAAAGAATTCAAAAATGCTAAAATTCTAATTTGAAAATCAACAAGGATATTCAATGCAACTCTCCCGAAGAATTCCAACTTTAACCATTATCGGAAAATGTAAATCCAAACCGAGTAATATTAGATTTTCTATATTCCAAATTCAATAAATAAGAAGGAACTTACGACTACATATAAGCAAGTTCCTTTGACACAACTCCACAAATAAAATCTATTCCTGTGACAAATACGATTATTAAAGATATAAATGTCCTTGCGGTTTATTTTACCAGCAATATTGTAAAGTTGTTTCTCAATGTATATTAGTTATCTAACTGATAATAATTCGTATTTGGATGTACTTATAATTACAAGAAATGTACAATGTAATTAAGCTAGGAATACAAAATTTTGCACCAAAGACATTCGTGAATGATGTGAAAATTGCTCCAATATTTTATACTTCAAATATATGTAAGACTTGATTCAGCGCTCATAAAAAAGTTATATTTAAAAATAATAATGATTGTAAATTATGTAGAGTTAGTGATTTTATGTCAATATAATCAACTGTCTTACGTCAAACTTACATTAGTTTGTTGGACTTTAAATGAATTATGCATCTTTCATTTTAGACATTTAGAAAACAATTTCTCTCACTTTCCTCTCCCCTTACAATATAATTCAATAAATTTATAAGAAAAACTAGCAAATAATTTAGACATTGGGACAAACTATGGCAATTACGACAATTGCAAAAACTCTAGCGTTTGTAATCGTTGTAACATCAACTTGTAAAGATGATGAAAAAACTGATGAAAATCTTCGCAGAGCATAAATAGAAAGGAGCTTTGTATGAGATAGCCAAAATTTTATTTTTAATTTCGAAATAAAACGCAAGAAATAAAAAATAATAATATTTTTTTTTTATTTCATGCTAACATTGACATAATGGCCAATTTGATCAATACCATTGTCGCACCTGTGGAGAAGTGGCCCGAAAAAAGAATAGCGAAGCAGTCCCAGTTTAGCGGAAGAAATGCCTACCGATAGGAAGGTATTATATGCGAGAACTCACAAGACAAGCTATAAAGGTAAAGATGCCGAGGTGGAGTCAGAAATAACTGCTTTACAAAAAAAAAATAACCATTTCACAACTTTTATTTTATTTTAATTTTGTTCCAGCAGTAGCATAACAAGAAAATTGGCCACCTTCATATGAAGAAGTAACTGCACCGAGATGGCTTCGAAGAAAGAATAAGTGTAGATCCATATCTAGTTAGTATTTAAAATCACAAAATACAAAGTTTATGAAACTAAAAGACATAACTACAAGACACACAAGCATGCTGGTAGCAGCAACAGAGAAAGTCACAAAATTCATGCGCTTCATTTTTAGGGACTTGGATTTTCGGTATTGAATAATCTACTTATCGTCAACATGTGCGCCACAATTAATTCTAGCCAAATGCCGACCATTTTTTGATGCGTACGCAGGGGGAAGTCTAGCTGAAGGAGGTTCACCACTCCTTATAACGATAGCTGTGACAGAAGGTATTGGTTCAGGATCTGCCCTATTTGAGCTTTAATATTAAAGTTTCATATCACACGCGAAGCTGATCTCGCAAAGTAATGAAAATATTGAAAAACTCTATTTATCGCATTCGGGATAATAAAGTATTAGACCCATTTTATGAGTGATAAAGGCGATAAGAGATTTTTTAACTAGATATTTTTAAGGATCTCGACGTAGGTGATTTTTTATAAAATTTAGTTTTTTTTGCGGATGAAGGTGGAAAAAATAAATCGGATAAATAAAATCGAATAAATTTTACATTATTATTAAAGATTAAATTTTGTTTTTTTTATATATATTATTAAAATTTTTTATTTGAGAAGTCGATAATTTATTTAAAAAAATGCGTTTCTATATTAAAATCACCTTACCTGTTACGGGATAAGCGTCGCACTAAATGGAAGCATAATTGTGGTGTAACACTACATTTTAAATTAATTTTCTCAATGATTTGTTTCTTTTTTATAACTTTTTGTAAACTTTCTGTTAAAATGTCCATCGAATGTTTGCAGGGAGTCGCTAATGATTATGAAAGGTTATTTGAAATGGCAAAAGATATGATGTCATTATTTATGCCGGTGAAAATGAAAACCTTAAAGAACTACATGCCTTTCAAATATTTTATGCTTCAGTAGCAATATTTTTACGATGAATTAACTTAAGAAAATGTTGAGAAGATGGAAGGGAAATTTATTTTAAAATATCAAATATTCCTCCAAATCCTTTTAAAATTGTCTTAAGGTAAATAATGTCTAGTCAATCGACAACTATGACAATAATTTATACCAAGTTACTAATGTCACTTTTAAATTTCATATTTTTATATTGCGGAAGGATTGACGTGACGAAATTAGAAGGAACTGAAAGATTAGAACTCTTGAAAGCGTCAGGTGTACTTAATCTTAAATCATTAGTTCCCGAAATTGAAGATTATTTAATTAAATGAACATCATGAGTTTTTACAAAAGAATCCAATAGGAATTCTTGAAATAATTTATCAACTTAAAACTTTCACTAAATTACGAAATTTTTATTTTGAAAAAATTTGTGAAGCCCCCGAAGAGTTTTTAATTCTGATAAATTTCTCAGTATAAAAGCACCTTATTAGAATTCCTTTTAAAACGGGATGATCAAGTCTGGATGATATTGACATTTGGGATAGGTTAATTAAATGGGGTTTTGCTCAGAACCCGTTTATTCCTAAAGAAGTCAAAGAATGGAGCAATGAAGAAACTATAGTTATGGAAAGAACACTTCATAGATATATTCCTTTAGTTAGATTTCATTATATTTCTTCAGAAGATTTCTTTGAAATTGCCACCAAATGATTTGTTTGTCGATCTCTTAGCATATTCCTGGGCACCAGATAAGAAATTTAATATTAATATTCAACCACCTAGACAATTCAAATGTTGTTCAATCCTAGTTGAACCTAAACATTTTGCTATATTTTCCAGTTGGATCGATAAGAAAAAAGATTTGCATTATAATGCCAAGAACTCACTTTATAATTATAATTACTTTATCGTGCCAGTAGGAATGGTAATACACCTACATCATTTCATCAAAAATGTGATGACAAAGGGGCCAATATATTCGTAATAAAAATTAACGTAACGGAACAAATGGTGGGAGGATATAATCCATTTGGGTGGAAAGGAAAAAGTCAACGGAAAACTACCAAAGATAGTTTTATTTTCTCATTAGAACAAACCTTCAAACTGCAAAAGTAGGTTATATGTCCAACATTTGGTCAACTCAAAGGTTGGTTTATCGATCTTTATTTGAATTCCAGTGTTGGCGAGCTGATAACCCAAATTCTTATACTCAAATTGATATTCCGAATGGTCAGTTTCAAATAGATGATTATGAGGTATTTCAAGTTAATAAAAGATAAATACTTGCATTTTGTATTGTATATGTATTTAACATCACTTACACATTTGTGCGATTGTACTTATCCTTACTGTGTATTAAACTTTATTTATGCGTTCCTAGTAAATTATCTTTAACTATTGATTAAACTACAAATTATTAATAACAAATTTGAAAAATTTGACATAATCGAAAGAATTATATTTTAAAGAGAGTTTTAATTTTTTTCTATAACAATTATCCATGTTTTTTTTCCTCTAGCTTTGCATTATTATTTTATTGTTCCAAATTATTGTACATTCTATAATAAGAATTATATGCTAAAGATATGCCAAGATACGAGAAAATTTGCTTTAGAAATTTCTATTATTTATGATTGAAATAAAATTTATTATAAAATTATAAAAAAATTACTTGAACATTTAGTTAATTTTCGCATTGTCATTTTCAAATTAGTATGTATAATCAATTCCTAAAATATTACAATTTCTTTTAACTTCAAGATAGAATATCATGGCATGTAACATCTGGCTGCGCATAATTTGCAAATTCTTCAAATTATGAATTTTAAATTTTGCTATAGCTAACATCTTTATAAAGGGTAATCATGTGATTGATTCCTTTGAAATACATTGATTTGAAATTTATGTAATATTGGTTTCTAAATGTTTTAATTCATTTTTAAATAGTAAACGAAATTTGGTAAAATAACTATTATATTTCCCGATTACTAACGCCCGTGATAAGAAAAATCACATGAATTATGTAAGTCACATGTTATTGTAACGTAAAAATACATCAATAATATTTTTACAATTTTTTTTTTTAAATTTTATTTCTTAAAAAATGAAATGAAGACCGTAAAATTTAATACTGCTCATGAATGATGGAGTCATTACTTATTTTGAATATAGTGAACTCAACAATGTTTTAAAATTGGTGGAGGGTTTAATGTTATGAATAATACAGTTTTTGCTAGTAGACACATTGAAAGTTTTCTTAAAAAATAAATTTGAATTACTTCTTATATATATAAGAGAGGTTTGCTATAATTTACTATATTCGTAACTCGATTTTAATAGCAAACCTCCCATATATTATTATCGAAATACTGTAAATAATTTTGTATAGGTGAAACTACTTCGTAAAATTTCATTATCATTCGAAAATCAATTGTTTTCCTGGAATAACAAAATAATTCTTATAATTTACCTAAATTCGACAAATTTTTATTATTTAAATTTTAATAGATTTTGATGGAAATTATTTTATGGTATTGGAAATATTCCAATAAAGAAATTCAGAGATGATTTAAAATCAAACGTATTTAAATTTTTACAATAGATCGAATGTCATTAGATATTATTAGCGGATTGAAGATTTTAGTGATTCAACCTTAAAAATTTCATTAAAAACATTATTATCATTTCCTAAAGTACATTCAATTGAAATTGATTGTGCAGGTAATTCTTGTTTTTATTAAATGATGCATATAAAAGAGATATGTAAATGCAAATAAAATTCCAGAAATGAAAATTCAGAAATCATATAATACTAGATATATTTAATGATCTAATTCATCATTTAAATAAAGAATTATAAAATAAATAAAACTTAGAATTTGAGGGTGCGTGCACCCATTCATGCCCGATATACTAGAATCCTTAATAAGTTAGATCTATGATAATAACGTTCCATAAAAGTAGAAAAAATTTTTATTTCTTCACCTTGAAGCTAAACAGTTGATGACTTTCTAGAAGATGCTGAGTTTACATTGTTTTGAAAAGTGGCTCGTACTACGTCTAGTAGGACGTAGTCTTCTCCAAGCGATTTTCAAAGCACGTCCTAACAATTGAGATTGATCCATTGCTTTTTTTAACAGATGAGAAACTCCAACTGCATGATTCACGAAATTACATCATCGTGATTATGTATAACACGATTATTTAATTTCTCAAAATGTCGGTAAATCCAGTAATAAACATTGACGTCTACAAGAATAGATAGATCTCTTCAGATATCAGTCAAAATATTTTCAAATAATATTATTAAATAAATATACCTACCTATAAGAAAATAAGTCACCACCATAACAAAGATATGGTCAATTATTTTTATAAGAATCTAACTTTCTTGAATTAATTAATTACACTGCCACCGCCTTCAATCTATCACATTTAAATTATGAATTCAAAATAACAAATGAATTAAAATTTTTAAAAAACTCCGATACCTACCCTACCTTCCCACAGGGAGGTTATGTTATATGTCTGGAAACAGTTTTTAATTTAGCGTCAAACACTTTTTTTTATTAATTTTTTGTATTGTATTTCTACTCCAGAAAGTCATCTAAAGTTCATAAAGAAACCTGAAATTATATTTATATATTATTCATTAAATTTAATTTAATTTTTAAATACCGCAATATTTTTTTTTTATAATCGCGCGTTCTAATATTTTAATAATATATTTATAATTTAATATTTTTTAATTATTTTTTAATTTGTATATATCCCCTATTTTTTTTTTTTAATTTAATCATTTTTATTTTTCGGATTTAATTTATTTAGATGTCTCTCAAGTACCTAACTCAATGATCGATCAATTATATTCGATTAATCGAAAATCGAAAATCGAATCTTAGAGTCCAGATTTTATTGATGAGGCCATCTGAAATTGGATATCTAATATTGAACTTTAGATAGAATCTGAATTTATACAAATTATGCATTTATGAATTAAATTAAAGTAATATGTACATAATAAAATTTTTATGATTATTTTTAACTGTTTCTTTTTATTTATTTTACTTGGCTACTCTATTATAAAAAAAAATTAACAATTCCTTTTTTCTATAATTAAAATTTGAAAACATTATAAAATTTAAATAACTAGATTTTAAAGTTAGCCTCTCAGCTTCAAAATAGAATAATTATTTAGGTAACTCGTAAAGGTGTGAGTTCCTTTTCTATTTGGTTCCTGCTGTTATAAAAGAATTAAAAAAAAGTGAATGTGTTTAGTTTGATCTTTTAACTGAATATTTATTTTTTGCTTTTTAGTTTAGTTCACTTCGGTCTGAAGATTATAAAAAGATGAAAACAAAATGAACAAAATCACTTATTTAACTGGCGGATCACGAATTAATAGTCAATCATGCTCGGGTGAAATAAAAATTATGTAAAAATAACATATATATATATATATAACTAAAACATAACTATTTTGTTTACTTGGTTCTTTTGATAAAAAATTTACTTCCAAAATACTTTTTAAATAATAGATATTTGATTACCTATTAATTTATTTGAGTTTTGGAACAAAAAATTAATAAATGTTCAATGTAGAGATGCAATAATGAATTAAATAAGTTTGGTGAGCCAGTTATCTAAATATTTTCATAGCGAAGAACTCTTAAGGATTAGGAATGTTGGTAACCTGGTATCTGACGGAATTATTTATTGCTGTCTTAACCGAATAAATATATTTGTTTTATTTTATTTTTTATGATCTTGGATTTCACGCAAAAAAAATATTCTCTAATACACATTAAGAGAAAATAGCATTGTAAAAGGTTTTGTGATGTACTAATTACTATTAATTGGTTAAATTTATACGTCAATACTTATAGATAATCGGAAATAATTGATAAATAAAAATAAATTTCTTCGTCATTAACATATTGCGACTATTCATTAAAATTTTCTCCAAAATA